TAGCTATTAAATAAATAATAAAAATTAAACCAATACAGACTTCAACTGGGGTTATTAGAAGTCATATGGACATTTCTTCATCGAAAATACTGAAATATTAAGAAATAGAAAATTAGTAAAACAAAAGGGCAATGCTTACATACTAATAACTTATTTTGAAGCAAACTTCTTGACAATCTAAATCACATAAGTAGCATTGATAAATAAAGTCATTCTTTTGTCTTGAGTATCAAAAAAACAAATCTTGACAATTCTCTAACTCTTGAGAAGTTTAATAATTTTGGAAAAAGATATTCAGAAACATATATCTACATCACAAGAGAGATTATTAACAAAAACAAATGAATTTATACTACAATAAAAATTAAACTAATTCAAACTTCAATTGGCGTTAGTACAAGTCATATGAACTTTTATTCGTTGAAAAAACAGAAATATTAAGAAATAGTAAATCAGTAAATCAAAAGAGTAATGTTTATATAGTAATCACTATTTTGAAGAAAACTTTTTGACAATCGAAATAACATAAGTAACATTGATAAATAAAGTCATTCTCTTGTCTTGGGAATGAGAAAAAAATCGTGACAATTTTCTAACTTTTGAGAAGTTGAATAATTTTGGAAAAAGATATTCAGAAGCATATATATCTACATCACAGGAGAAATTGTTAACAATAACAAATGAATTTAGACTACAATAAAATTTAAACTCATACAAACTTCAACTGACGTTATTACAAGTCATATAAACTTTTCTTCATCGAAAATACGTAAATATTAAGAAATAATAAATCAATAAAACAAAAGGGCAGTGTTTATATTAACAAAAAGGCAATGTTTATACAGTAATAACTATTTTGAAGCAAACTTCCTGACAATCTAAATCACATAAGTAACATTGATAAATGAAGTCATTCTTTAGTCTTGAGCATCAAAAAACAAATCGTGGCGATTCTCTAACTCTTGAGAAATTGAATAATTTTTGTAAAAGATACTCAGAAGCATATATCTACACCACAAGAGAAATTGTTAACAAAAACAAATGAGTTTAGACTACATCATGTTAACTTCATACAATTGAACAATTTACTTCATCAAAATAGTGGTACATCATAGTCCGCTAAACTTTGAACTCACTCAACGAAAATAAATCACACGAAATTTTTTAAAATGCAAGAAGAAGAAGAAGAAGAGTAGAAGACTAAAGAAAATTGTGGTAGAAAAATGAGAGGAAACCCCTCTATTTATAGTCAACAAAGGGTAGTATGAACAAGTGTTTTTTGTGTCTTATCTTAAAAAGTCATGACCTTTCCAAGAAGTCACAACCCTTTGGAAAAGTCAGAACTTATTGAAAAAAACACAACTATTTGAAAAAGTCACAACTCTTTGGTAAAGTCACAACTCATCGAAAAATCGCAACCCTATGAAAAAATTCACAACTTATCAGAAAAGTCACAACTCATCGAAAAAGTCACAACCTAA